TGTTATTTCTTATTCATGAAGGAATGATAATTCAACAATAATCCAGATTTTTGTATTCATTATTCAATGTAACTTTCATCTAACAGCTTTCTATTATACCGACGTTATTCCGACGTTATACCGACGTTATACCGACAGTATCGGTACATTTGTTCACGATGACGATCGGCCGTCATATTCGAAGCTGTCACTCACGCTGTCGCGCGACTGGTCTATACGCGCTCTGATTGGTCCGTGTTTTTCATTAATAATTCAAAAACTAAGCTTTAACCAGCATTTTGGTAAAGGAAAAAGTTGTTCAGAATCACCCCAGCTATCACCCCCTAAAATTATGCCCACCAGTAGCCGAACACCCTGTATATGACGTTGTTCGGAGGAAGTTGTATACAAAATAGATTAAAAACAAAAACTTGGAATGTATTGGGATTCTAAATAATTGAACATGCTTTTGATCTTTCACGACTGCTGCAATGACAGCAAAAATTTAATGGTAAAAGTTTCATATAAAAGAAATTGTAGTATCGCAGATCGCGTCGAAGAAAAAGAAAGAACAATACCGCGCGCGTTTCTAGTTGCTTTGACGTAGAGTTTTAGTTATAAGAATTTGTGTGCGTGCATGTATGTGATCGACGCGACCGTTAAAAAACAAAAGCTTGCGTATGCAATATGCGTTCGGACCTGCAAAACCGCGATCGAGAATTTTGTCTTTATTTTTATTTCAAATACATTTCATTGTTCTTTTCGTTCCCGTTAACCTGCGTCCAATAATTTTTATCCCACAGAAATCGAAAATGAAAGATTTATTTTTACATTAGGATTGTCTCACCGATATGTTATTGTATATTTGCGTTCAATATCCTTCACTCGCTGTCCTTTTCGACGTTCGACAAATCATAAATGAATGTAGAATCTATGCAATATCAGCAAAAGTTTAGGCCCGAGAGATTTCCGGGCATTGAATATTTACTATATTAAGTATTAACAAATTTTTTATATTTTATTGATAAAGGTAACGGTGGTGACGTTATGTACTCGACAGGTTTGGTTTCATCCGTTTGTAGCAAGTAGTAATATGTAACATCTAATATCTCGTATTCAATTTAAATGCAGTATTAGTAATGTAAGGATGGCTTATAAAAATATACAAGATCGGTGTAAAACGTGCTTATTCAAGAATCCGTTGACGCTTGATGGACCCCCGGTCGTTCGCTTCCTCGTGTGTTAAAACAAACAACGATCGGTACGTTCGCGTAACAATTCCTACTATGTGTAACGACTCTGGAACCTAGGTTCAGATAGTTACTAGCGCTAGGAAGGTAAAGAGCGGCTTTTACCAACTGAACGACTCGTTTTGGAAAATAACTAAATGTAAAGATTGTGGGATTCGTGTGGTGTGCGGTTAAGGAGTGAAATCCACAGGTCAATATCTTTCAACAATAAGGTTTATTCAATAAAATAATGAAGATGATGAATTTAACAAATAATAACAAAATATGAAAAGTATACTGGTTTGATCAAAAGAAGCTAAATAGATTTTGATATAATATTAATACTAGAAATAATAGAACTTGGCAAATTAAACAATACGTAATAGACATTAATTGTGCAAACGAACGATTTAATTACATTATTAATATCGCATTCTACATAATAGTTTATGTTGTTGATATGAAAGTAGTAATTTAATAGTGTTTTAATGAAAATTGTATTTTCTATCCTTCTCTATGTACTACGCACGACTTCTATACGGATCGGAGCTAAATGTATAAGCATACGATGCTTCTAGAACATTCCATTGAATAATATTATAATTTACAATATATATTGCAATAAACTAACATCTTGTAACCGTACAAAGTACGCTCACATATTAGCGATTCATAGTTCGCGGATTGCGGGGTGGGGTAGAGAGCAATTAGGCAGACTATTTCGTCACGCGTCCTAATAGCGCATGCGTGTTATCCCCTCCAGGTAACAGGTGAGCGATCGACCCGCAAGCCGTGAAATCGATCGTCACTCTGATCTCGACCGGCTTCTAGATCACTCGTAATTCTAACAAGGGGGTCCGCCTAACGAAAAACGGAACATAGCTTGAGTCAAACTGACTATCGAACACGCAGTAAAACGGCTGGTGCTCGCGGTTATTGTTCGCGCCTCAAACTGAGGAGTCGT